CTGCCTGATAAGTCAATTTAATGAAAGATGAATACTAAAACATGGTTTAATTGTTGATTTTTATCTGCTTCTGCTCAATGTTCCCATTATAGTCATAGAAAGTGGATCGAAGAAGGAATGCTTGGCGATCAACATTTTTTTTGTTGCTAACTTATTAAAGAATGTGTCAGTGATTGAGTTTCTAAATTACTGAGCTCCAGAATGTTCGGTATAAATGAGGCTATGTGTTGGAGCTAAGTGCTTTCAATTACAAAGATGGATGAGTAAGAGCTGAGGAATTTATATTAAAATGGAAGAAAAGTTAAAATGTCACACCTAAGGGCCAAAAAGAAATTATATTAGAGGGATATGAGAATGTCAAACTAAAATATGTATCTTTCTGGTGGAATAACATGCCACTATTCACCAAATGTAACATGTAGACTCCTGAAGGATGATCAGGAATTTAACCTGAAACATTGTGACCAACCTGTAGGGTCTAACTATTGTGTGTGATGAAAAATAGAGCAGAGCACTTTATATGCGTTATATATTTAATGATGGTTAATCAATAGAGAGAAAGTTAAATGAGTGTATTTGCAATTAAATTCACTCTACATTTTCTCTATCACTTTTAATATCCACATAGTTTCATTTTTACACTCACAACTCAAGACAGCGTCCTATATGTTGTTGTATAAACTTATTTTTGTTTCTTATATAAACCTCTGTAACTAATGATAAATGACACCCTTATCCCAAACACGGATGATGCCTGAACTCTAGAGACCTTCCAAATTATATTATTTGCAGTAAATAATTTTTGGTTAATAGTGTGAAATGTGGTATCAGATTTTATTCATAGTTCTATTCTAATGTTAGTACTGTGAGCGCCTTCTACAGCCTCTCCCAGTGGAGACTTGTACTCCCCAAAGATGGGCTTGCCAGAGATAGAGGTCTGGTCACAGGGTTACTGCTTCTCAACCCACATCCCCAGAGACAGAGACCTCCAGGCATTTTTAATCAGACTCGAGACAGCTTCGGCTGTTTCCTGCTTTCACCTGATAAACGCAACAAGAATTGGAGGACAATTCCCTATGGCTAATCAGACACTCTTTACTATAAAAGTTTCCTGTTGATTTAAGTATCAGTTCAAGGAAGAAAAATAAAAGGTAAATTATGAATTGTTACTTCACAATTAAGACCATAACACCTTATTATTTATATTAAAAGCAATTCAATGATTTCCGCATAATATGAAAAAGGCAAACATCATTATTTTACCCTGCTTAATTTATCAGAGTGTATTTCTTAATTTCAATAATCAAAAGTCCTTAAAAGACACCTTCCTTTTTTTCCAATCAATTTCATTTTTGATAATGATCTCCTGAACTTGAAATATACGGTGTAACTGTAAGTAATCAGTTTTTAATTTTTATAATAATAAAGTAGATATAAGTGGACATGAAATAAACTTGCTTTTGTGAATAGTTTCACTCATATTTTCAGCATATTGTATTTAAAAATTACTTATTATTGTATACTTTATGACAACCTTTGAGATTTGATTAAGTATGTGGGACCTGCATTGTGCTATTGAGTTTGAAGCAACCTGGTTCAGATAGCAGCTTCCTGACATTGAACAAGTTATTTACACTTTCTTTGTTACCTGGATCTTTTTCAAAAGGTGAATATCATAGTGCTCACAGAAATTGGGACAAATTAATGAGAACATAGAAGTAAAGCATTAACAGCTTGGGTATCATAACAAATGTTCAAAATTGTTAATAATAAAATTATTTAAAAAAAAACACGAAACCTCCACATTTCACAGCTATGCCTTCCCTGTTAAGAGAGATTTTTAAAATGGCAACTCAACCTACCATATTAAAAGTTTCTCTGATTCTTAATGGAAAGAGTAGATCAATTTCAGAAAAAAAGTTATTTAAAGAAAGTTATCTTGGGATATGCTGTCATATGGTAAATAAGATTTGCATGTTTCATTTATTTGTACTTCTATAGTACTTCTCTTTATGTGCTCAAAATTTAAAAAATTGGTACATAAAAGCCCAATAAGTTAGAATGGATTCATCCAGATGTTGATGTTAGTTTGTATCACTGAACATAGAACTGCCAACTGTTTTTAAGCTCAGTATTCCTACCAAATTCCCTCCTCTGCTAGATTGGAATCACCGACTCCATGATCGGATAAATCATAAGTGAACTTCAACATAAAAAAATGATATGCAGCATATTTCATTTTTGTTGTATATATTTATCATAACAATCTCTTATCATAAATGGCAATTTATCATAATATATCATTTATGAACTATATCCTTCATTAATATCATTTATTAATTATAATCCATAATTAATGTTATACATTAGTAATATTAAATGATAGATAAGTAGGTGAATTGATAGATATTCAAATCTCCTATTAAACACAGAAGGTATACAATGACAGATTTCATATACATAAATATGGTGTCAGTGTCACTTGTCTGATCAAAATCTCTGACAACCTTCATTTTCTTTACTTTTTATAACTAGCTATAAAAGGATAAACTTGACTCATTATTAATAAATTCCTGAAGTTTGTAAATTGCCTAGAACTTTTAGAACCATGGAGACTATGGTAGAGTTGTGGATGTCTTATAACAAAAATCATAGTTTATTTCACATTCTAGACTTTATGTGCACATAGAGTCTTCTATTATCTAAGTAGCTGGTGAGTGGCCAGGTGGGATAAAGGGGATCAGGCAGTGCAGACTCACTGACCTCCTGCCCTGGGCTGCGTGAGTGGGACTCAAAGGAGAATCATTAAAATCAATGGACAAGAATCATATAATGGACTGTAAATGTCATGGTGCTAGACAGAAAAAAATAGACATAAATACCAAATAAGAATAAATTAATCAGGAAGTAGAAACATGTCTTATTGAAGAAGGTCCCAGGTTGCCAGAGCTGCTTCTTAACACGTTCCCTCTAATCTAATGTCCGTTATTTTCAGTGTTATTGATCTATTATATGTTTTAACATGATAAGGAAAATAGATTATCTTTTTAAATTTCCCAGAATTTTATTATATTAGATTTGAAATGCATTACCTAAAATATAGAAACAAACAAGAAAACTGGATATCTGTTCAATGTTCATTAACATCTATAAAATCTATACTTTAACTCGTCCAAATTTCAGCCTGAACTGAAAGAGTAATTAACATCTAAGGTTTGAAATAATTTCATTCATAGATGGAATGCCCAGGAAAGAATTCCTCACTGGGGAACCACACTGCATTGGTGGAATTCATCCTGATTGGGTTTTCTGATGTTCCAAACCTCCAAGGATTCCTTTTTGGTGTATTTTTGATAATCTATGTCTTTATCCTTATGGGAAATAGCCTCATTATCATGATAACTAAGATTGATCCTTCCCTCCAGACCCCCATGTATTTCTTCCTTCGGAATTTTTCTTTTTTGGAAATTTGTTATGTGTCAGTTACTGTCCCGAGATTACTAACAGATCTCTGTAGACAGTATGGAAATATTGCGCTGCTGGACTGTGCTATTCAAATGTATTTCTTTCTGATCTTGGTAGACACTGAGTGCTTTATCCTCACTGCCATGGCTTATGACAGGTATGTGGCCATATGCAACCCACTACTCTACCCTGTCATCATGAACAGTAGGCTGTGTACACAGCTGGCAGCTGTCTGCTGGACCACGGCAATTCCAATGCATACATTATTCATCTCTGTTGTCTTCTCCTCAAACTTCTGTGGATGTAACCAGCTGAATCACTTTTTCTGTGATGCACCTCCGGTTGTTCAGCTTATTTGTGGGGATGCTTTCATGGTTGAAATGTTAACTTATGCAGTTGCTGCGTTAGGTGCAAGTATACCTTCTTTTCTCATTCTTGGATCTTATGTGAAAATAATCTCCTCCATCCTGAAGCTGCCATCAGCCACTGGGAGAGCCAAGGCCTTCTCCACTTGCTCTTCCCATCTCACAGTTGTGACTTTATTCTTTGCATCAGGCATCATTGTGTATATGAAACCTAAGTCCACTTATTCAACAGGAATGGACAAATTCCTCTCTCTATTTTACACCATCTTGGTACCCATGTTCAACCCTATTATCTACAGTTTGAGGAACAAAGATGTTATGGTTGCACTGGGAAAATTCTTACAGAAATGGATTGTGTTGTGACTCATAAATATAACTTCTTAAAAATTGTTTCTTATTTTTGACATTTGCATTTGGTTTTTCTTTAATTATACTAGAAACCTGAACTCTTACAGATGCTTTCATATATTTATTTA